TAAAAAAAAATAAGTGGGAGGAAACTTTTGGCTTGTCCTACATCACAGAAAAATCTCTCCATGTCTACAGGACGTGGAAGCGGTAATTTTGAAAAAAANAAAAAAAAAAGGAGAGAAAAAAAAGATGGAATTTGAATTGAATTCGAGCAACGAGAAAGGTATTTTTGGATGAATCGTTTTGCCCCGGAGGTACTTTCAGTACCTTCTTCGCTTCGCATTTGAACGAGATTAAGCGATTACGGTCAGTAATGAGCTTTCGAGACTAATGCGCGTTATTCGACAGCTCTGCCCTACCCTCTTGCGTAGGTATATTTTTTTCCAACAGTTGATATCAAAATTCGACATCAAAATTTTGAATTCAATGTGTTGCGGTTCGACATTAGCAAATTTTAGCAATTTTAGATAACAGACTATTTTAACCCTTTAAACCCACGATTTGTTTTCAACGTTGTCGTGCGTCCATTTGTATTTATTTTAAAATAACTTAGGTAAATTGACGTACAAAGATAAGATAAAGATAAGAATAAATATAATTTATTTTTTATAACTTTTTCAGCAATTTCCAAGTTCTCGTAGAAAATTTGTCATCTGCAGCGCAGCACGCACACGGGTTCAAAAGTTTAATTTTGTTACTTTTATCCCTTCGATATTTTCCTTGCAAACACCTTGTCACGTAGCTGGTAATTTCCAAGAATCGTGCCGACCGATTGTAGTACAGGGTTGACAAAGCTGCACCCTCCCTTACCGGAGGGTAACTCTGTTCCCATTGCACGGAATCAACACCGTATTCAGAGAAAGGGTCACTAAAATCCCCTGACAAGTGCCTACCTCTATCGTCTAAATATTTTGAATTCGTTTGTCACTGAATAGGACAACATGGTGCAAGAAAACGGAAAGATGATGTTCAGAAACAAGATAGACAACAACACCCCCGTAACCCAGCAACCGTATTGCCAAGTTCTAGCGGGGACACGCCAGAGTCTCTTCGAAATGGGAACACGTCGAAATGAAACCGGCGCATTAAGCGACAAGGAAGCATACAGAACGACAAAGAACGAAATAAAGATAGGGAGAGGAGGAGGAAGACGAGAGAGAGAGAAAAAAAAAGGCAAGAAAAGAGCAAAAACGCGTGCGGGGTTAAAAACTAGAAACATTGTGCCGTTAAATATCGCGTCGAAGAATCTTCCCGTTGGGGAATTCTCAGAGAGAAAACGAAACCCGAGGCGATGTGTACTTCGAGATATCGTAATGGCAGCGCCGGATGAACGCTGGACGGGAGAGACGCACGGTGAAGAGTCCAGGGGGGCTATTGTGTTGCTCCCTTCGGAAACCAAAGAACAGCCCACCCACCACACGAGGAAGTCAACAGACATAATTTCGACGAAAGATTTCTCTGGTTTTACGCGAGTTGGCGCGCGTTTTCTCTTGAATTTTATCAACGCGATATCTTGCAACTAAAATTTGTCCACAGATGGTCAAATTGTCTCACCGTTGTGGCGGGTAATCTACAGTACCGACAAGTCACCGTTATACGATGGGACTCGCTGATAATTGTTCAGAGTGAAAATAAAAATTCGCAAGGCAGATGACGCTGGGAGAACTTTAGGTTTAAAAATTGTTAAATTTTTAAATTTAAATATCAACCGAAGAAAATGTGACTTGGAACAAGACTAGCTTCACGTCTGAAGTGGCTCTTTCAGAAAGGAAAGAATTATGCTTCCATTAGCAACAAAGTTCATTTCTTTGTAGTTTAATTAAACGTAGCATTTTAAATTCTGAATATATAGTGACGTAAGGGATATCGTAATCGCGCGGAACCTCCGCTGAAAGTGTTGGGGGGGGGGGGGGGGGGGTGATATTCTCGCGTAACAGATTGAAAAAAATCGATGTATCAAACGTATATTTCAAAAACGAACTCCTAAAGTTTTGCAATAAAATTCGTGAAAATAAGGAAATTGGAGATTGTTTGATGAGGTTTAATGTTTGATGATAAGTAATGTAGCCACAGCTATCTATCTTATCCACTCAAGATGTAACAGTGAAATCATTATTTATCTACGAAGACAATAATGATCTTCCATTATTGGCAAATACATTTTTGATTGATCTCATACTGTTTCGAGAGTTGACAAGAGAGAAAATTCAGGAAATATGGAGTTACAAATTTATTTACAGAATTTAGGCCGCAACTACCTTGAAACTTTTCTCGGGACCATGTTTTACAAACTAGCGTAACTCAATAAACTAATTGAGTAATCAACTTCGAGCAAAGTTTATTTTATCTGTCACGCATTCCTTTAGAGATTATGCCTGTATTTTATTTTTTCATTTATAATATTCATTTTTATTACAATCCCAACTTCAATCTTTTTAATCTAATTTTTGTAGAAAATATAATAATCCCTATAAAATAGTATAATCCCTTCTACTTTTTAGATTCTGATAATTGTAACAAATGCTCATCGTTAAAGCAGTAATTGCGTACAATTTGCGTGACAATAAAAATAAAAAAATTTCGTTCTCTCGTTTATGAATATATTTTTAAACCTGCAAAATTCTTCATTCTTTTATTATTAATAATTTTCTAAAAAAAAAATTATTCAATTCTATCGTTATTGCACGGAATTATCCTACCTTGACACGCTCAATCAAATGACCAGTTTAAAAATTTGATTTAAAATCCTGCAAATTCTTTTGTTTATTTTAGCTGTTTTCAAAAGAAAAAAAAATCTAATTTTTTTTCTTATTATCCGACAATTATTTTATACATTGTTTCCTGTATTAAATTGACAATTATCTAATATTATTCTTTTCATAAAAAGATCTGATCGATTGTGAAGTAGGAATATATAGTGTATATACCAAAAATCACATCCTACTAAAATAAATCCGTAATTCTTTTATTATATATTTTTTTTAATTTGCAAACGCTCTGACGATCAAAATTTAATTGTGTTTCATTTGAGCTTAAATTTAATTTAAAATTAATAAAATTAGTTTTTTCTTACACATTGATGTTTTATTTTAAAAAAAAGGGAGAAGAAACTTTTGTTCCACCCTATATAAAATACGTTTAGCGTAAAAATATGATGTACGTGATTTCTTAGATATAGGACAAAAAGCGGAACGAAAAACTTCGTGCGGAGGAGAAGGTAAGAGAAAAAGCCCGGAGAAAAGGCAAAGCAATCAATTGCGAAAGACTCGGAGGGCTTTGAAGGGACAAAATATCCCGGAGCGTTGGTGCTTTTCGAGATAGACAAATGTCGAAATTACGACGGTAAAACGCGATCCGTGACCGGTTAAAGAGGATTTAATTAAATTCCAGGCTACGGGTATAACGCGAGAAAATTTCAATTTCTCCCATGAGAGTAGCGCGCAAGGAAGACGCACCCGTGAGAGCCCTTTGTTGAGCCCGAGGGCTGGCTCGCGTTAGAACGTGTGTACACACGTGTATCCGGTGTTTCATCGGTCGGTAGGATCGGTCCCCGCTTTTCCCCCTTCTTGCCCCTCGGCCGCTGTTCAAAATCCAACTGCGTAAAAAAGATCGATGACGGCTGTTGTCCCATCGAGACGACCGGCTCGTTTCCAATTCCTGGAAGAAGCCACGTCGACGTGCTTTCACTGTCTTCCGTAATCGGAAGGGCCGGGACGTCGAGAATTAGATTTCCATTCCTTCGAGAAACTTGAATACCGACTGGGGAAACTCTGCCGATACCAGTGAAAAGAAAAAAAAAAAGAAAAAACTTGCCGAGAGAAACCCGACCGTTTTATTTCGGTTCGTTGCGTTGCCAACGAATTCAATCGATGATCAATTTCTTTCGAACTTCGTGTTTCGAAATTTTCGGCTGAAAGTAGTTGCCGATAGAGCGCCACGCGTCGATCTCAACCCCCCTTCGTACAAACCACTCGATCATTGCCGAGGAGAAACGCGGCAGCGATTACGAGCGTATGCAAATACCATGTGCGAGAAGAACCACGATGTCTACAATTATCAGGACGACTCGAGCTTGCACCAGACCGTAAAGCCACGGAACGAGCGCGCCAACGTTACATCGTACCCCATTTTATCGTGCAAATGTAAATGAACCTGTTCTATCTTCTATCTTTGTTCTTCATCGACCGTTAAAGAACAAGGATAAACCCCGAAGACGAGCGATTCCGCGTGCACCTAAATCCGAAACGTTATTCGGCCGGCAGCGGCCAGTGGCGTAAACACGCTTCCTTTTCATTATCGTCAAGTCTGCCTACTACGACTGCTGTAAAACCCCTCGTCTCGACCGATTAATTCTTCCAATTCGTTTGGACATGCACACAACAAGCAACGCTCAAGAAAAATATATTTCAACAGTTGCGTCGCGTGAAACTTCTACGAGCAAGTGAAAAGAAATCCGCGATTATCCTGGTTGGAAGAAGTAGCGGCGATACGACACCGTCCTCTCGTCGATGAGCTTAACGCGAACTTGTTAGGTTACCAACTTGACCAAGCGCATCCCCTTTAAGCCTTACGACAGATGTGAGCGAGAGAAACAACTCATGGCCGATCGCGCGGGCAACCGTTTATTATAAAAAGGTGAACGACGGAAGTGTATTCCTGGATGACCTGCGCACTTTTAGCCAATCAGTCGCGTAATCTTTAACGAGATAAGTTTCACCCCTTGACCGTTAACATCCCTCTTCCGCCAGGGGACTGTATCTTTTAAACTGACGTGCATCTTGCTAAACTTGACAGTAAACAGTAGTAAACTTTGATTTAATTTGTCGTTATATATATGTGTATGTGTGTGTATATATATATATATATATATATATATATATATATATATATATATATATATATATATTTATACATACATATATTTATTTATATTTATATATTATTTTCATAAAAAAAATTAGATACAATTGCAAAAATTCTAAGTACGTTTAAAAATACCATCGGGTCGTACTCATTAATTTGTGCTTTATTCATTAAAATATATTATACGAAGAAGTACCTTTTCTCAGACATTTTCGAAACAGTAGCCCTATCACAGTGTGGCTCGGAGATGAAGGCTATTTTTCTCTCCTTATGCAGACCAGACTTTATAAAACAGACTCTATTTGTTTAATTTCCTTCTCGGGTGGTTCTTGTGGAGATGGTGCAGTTTCTACGATTTCAGGGATATCTTCTTCGTTCTCTTCTTCAATATCTTCATCGATTGGAGTCAATGTATCTAATATCACAGGCTGAGTCTGTAACAAAATTTATTCTTCCTCGTTAATTTAAAGTACTTTGGATAACGTTTACATTGTATAATTTACGCGGTATAATTACCTGCGGCGTTGTGCACCGTTTCATAGCTGGGGCCATGAAACTAGTAACCGTGCTTACAAAGAAGAAAAATCCTGCCATAAAGAATGGGATGCTGTAACTTTGCGTTGCATCATAAACGGCACCGGCCAAGGGTGAACCGATGATAGCTGCAGCTCCTCTGAATAAGATTAAAAGGCCAAATGCATTGGTCAATTTATCTAGTCCTAAAAGGTCGACCAAAATAATCGACGTCAGGGAAATGTATCCAGCTGAAATATCACAGAAACAAATCTGTAACATCCACGGTGAACAACCATGCCTATAATAATACTTATTAATTTCAATACTCACATATAGCAATACCGAAAAGAATGCTCATAATAATGTAAGCAGGATAAGAATGGCAAAATGGAATAGCAGCTACAGCAACTGTCGATATAATTAAGCAGATATTGTTCAACAACAATGAGTCTACTTGTGGAAAATCTGCAATATATCCACAAGCTACACGACCCAGAGTATTAGTAATTCCAATTATAGATACTAAATATGACGCAAGAGTCTTGTCAATATTCTAGAAACAATATACATTGAAAAAACTAACCTTACAACAAGTGATGTATAATTTAAAAAAAAATTATCTTTATGCGTAAACTTGAACTTACATCTAAAACAGCAGCATCTAATAAATATACAAAAGGAACGTATAGTCCAGCCATTCCGAACACGTTACTAATACCGATTAAAAGAAATACTGGATTCTTTAGCAAAGATACATCCATCATAGTTGCCAAAGCTTCTTTGAACGAATCAGGCAATACCAAACAGGGACACAAGGCTTCTGTAAAATTTACTTCGTTTTAGAAAATGTTTATGAATCACTGTATCATTTGTATTTTCGAAAAGTTACTTACGTTCTTGGCGCGCTTTTTCAATGTCAGTATCTTTAATATCCCCACGAACGGACTTCGATAATGAAATAACGCTTTGACGATAATTTGCAAGTGACTTTTGACTCTGATATTCTGGTAAATTAAGCACGCTGCCGCTGTAAAATATATCCTTTCTCGATAGCGGTCGAATTTGCTGTTTCTCTTTTGGAATACTAGATTTGCTGGTGGTAAAAATAATACTTTCGCCATCCTGTAAAATCGTATGCAGTCTGACAATTTTCTTTCAATTAACAATAAATATATATTAGTATAAAAACTTGTAAGAAAAAAAAAGACGTACGTCTACTTCCGCGTTGTTATTTCGAGAGCCCATGACACTGCTCGTCGAAAGTCTCAAATGCAAACTCTTTCTTATATCACCATTAGAGTTCAATGTTGTTCTGGAGTTCTTAATCGCGCTAAGGCTTGGTTTGTATCTTTCGCTAGTGCTAGTTTTGCGGATCCGATCGAAGAAGGGTACCGAACCATTTTTAGGTAGACCTTGTACGTGGGTTGTAAAAGCAGGCTGTGAAGCATTTCTGGGAATTATCGGTTTGAATTCGTTTTCAGACTTTTCCGACGTGTCTTTTGTATCTTTGGTATCATCGATGTTTTTTCTGCTCCTTGATTTAGTGGAAATATTTTTTAAATCCATACTGCCACTATTACTAGTTGCTCCACTGGAAGAGTGTTCTTGTACTTTCACTTCCGATATAGTGGGTAGGGTCGGCACCGTTGGAACTGGCGTTAAAGGAGTTCCTTTAATGTCATAATTAAATGAAGCACAATGTAAAAAAACACGATATTCGATCGTCGACATGTTAATTTACTAACACAAATTTTCTTACCAGGCACTAATTGGTCTAAATTGAAACTGGAATGAACACCAGGATCGATATTAATAGGCATTTTCATCCTTTTCTCCATTGATCCATCAGGTAATTGTACCATGAAATAAGAACCTCCAATACTTCCACGTTCCATTTGAAATCTTTTCTCTTCCGCCATTCTTTGTAACAACGGTTTAACAGAAGAAGCTTTTGGATATTCTAATGGCCTCATCAATGCACCAAAGACCTGTAATTTCCCTACTGTTATTATCAAACAACAATTTATATTCCAGAATGTTTCAGAATGTTTGTAACAACACTTACAGCACAATTTAAAATAAGGCCAGCAAGAATTAAGTTCGCTCCTTTCCAATTATATTCTTCTAGTAACATTGTTGCGAGAGGTGCAAATGCAAATGTGCCAAATCCTGAACCACATACAGCAATGCCTGTGGCTAGAGATCGTTTGGTTTCAAAATAATAACCTACGCATACTACTGCTGGTAAATATATTAGACCAAATCCAATTCCTGAAAGGAGTATAATCATTACAGGCTTGTTCAAAGTGTAAATAAATAAATTAGATTATAGTCTAAAATATTATACAGACCTCCCATAATACCATAAGTTATCATAAGCATATTTACACTGGTCGAAAATGTTGAAAGTACAAATGCTGCTGCACCTAAAATACTTCCTGCCATACATACTGCTCTACATCCATACTTATTTGTTAAAGCACTGACAACAGGTCCTGAAAATGGATCAAAACTTTTTAAACTAAAACGGTGTTACAACTTAAAAATAGACAACACTTATAGTAAAGGAACTTACCAGCACTGAGGTACATGCCAGATAACAATGATCCAACCCATGCAGTTTTTCCTTTTCCTTCTCCAAAATATGTAACAAATTCTCCCAAAAAAACGCCAAATGTGTAAGCAATACCATCCACTATCATGTTACACATGAACGATGCAAATACCACCACCCAGCCATATCCGCCATCAGGTGGAGGTGGTATATCGTGGTATTCACACAGTGACCCTCCTTCATCTTCTGGAGATGCTTCATCACTAACTCCATCAGTGGTAGTTAATCTTGCATGCTCTTCCACAGAATATTCACTTTCCGTCTATGAAAGAAATATGAAACCATGTATACATATATATTTGAAATTGATATATGGTAAACATTAACAATTTTTTCTTTCTTTCTTAATTATTCCAATCGTATATAGTTTATCCCCTTTAAAAAATTCAAATAAATACTTTTTTTTAAGTTCTTGTTACATTGTAAGATATTTGTATCTGCCTTGAGTAAAGTAGTGGCAGTTCACCTTGAATGCTACAAGAAAAAGCTTGCTTTCATGCCAATGTATATGTACAATTATGTAGGTACATCTCTATACGTGTTTGATTATCAGATTGTCAAGTAGAATTCCTACTTCAGAAAATCATGCAGCAGAGTTCACCATGATCTTAGTCACTTGTACGATTATAAATTAATTTTCTTTTCGTTGAAAGTTTAATGAAATTACAAAGATGAAATGAAATAAATCGAAAAGCAAGCTGTTGCGGATATCTTTTGGAATGTAATGTGAGAACTCGCGGTTGTGCCGCATATAGGTGATCTCATAACGCAAACGCAAGCGTAAATATTATATGGCTACTCTGTGATTTAACTATTTTTTAAGGCTACATTTGTCCGAAGTAAAATAGCGTAGTAAATACACGACAAAGCAATTCTGTTTTCTTCAAACACCGAGATTTTAAGGATAGTTGGGACGAAGAAGTTACGCAAATGTACTTTTGTATGTCCCCAATCTTTTAAATCATTTTCAACTTAATTTCATCCTACTGCTTGTTCACCAAAGCAAGAAAAGCATCAATGTTAAGCGTTCGTAAACTATTTCTTTTTTCAAGATTTCAGGTACCAGCGAAATCAGGATATCAGGAACTCGAAAATTAAAAATAAAAATAATATTAAAGTAATATTAAAAAGAAAGAAGGTACAAAGAAAAACGTTCCGTGCAACGACCTCGAGTACTCGATATGTTAAACAAATTTAAATATAACGCTAGCACATACGAGAACGTGTATCGACAGATTCCGATAGGCAACTTAGCCGAATGGAAGGTCAGCCCAATCAGCTGATCCACTGTCATTAGAATTGGCAAAGCGTGCGCCACCTAACGCCAAGGCGAACGAAGCTCGACGAAAGTATTGTTTTCGACCTTGTTTCCTGTCGGCGGATCGGTGTGTCACATTTGCAACGGATGCAAATCGTGCACACAATCATGCGACGGGTTGCAACGTAGCTGTGCCGACAAACGTATGTGTATACATATATGCGTACGGTGTGGCAACCCGTCCGTGCGCTCGTTCGTCGGAAAACGCGAAAGTGTGAATTATGTTGACTGTCAAGGCTGAGTCACGTGCCGTTCCCGAACCGTACCAAACGAAGCGACTACGGACGAGAAACGACAAGAAACAATGTGAAACAAAACAAAGGAGTGGGAGAGACAAAGATAGAAAGTAGTACCTCGAAACTCGAGGCGAGTCAGATCGCCCGAAGAACGAAGAGATCGAATCGCGCAAGAACGCGCATGAATACGGTTGATATTAGCATGTTTTTTTTTTTTTACACTAAGCAGAGAGAGACGAATCTTCGAAACGTACCGTGCTGATCTTCCGCACGCGGCGCGAGCCGTATTGGCTGTACTGCGACTTGTTGAGCGACACGCGCGACATTCTACGATCGCCTTAATGTCACACCGTTCGCTCGTTTCACCGTTGGCACCTCCGCACACTTATGCAGAGTTCTATTTTCGTAGAAGTGCGCGCAGCTGCGCGCGCTCTCGTGCTTCTTTCCCCCGTGACTTTATCCCGTGTGTGTATGTGTGTGTGTGTGTGTGAGTTTGCGACAAAAGTTTCGTCGCCTCACGCTACGCCACTTCCGCGCGACTTCGAACACACTCCCTCCCCTCCTGTTAGCGAATAACAGGAGCAGCGGTGTAGTATCGCTCGTCAAAATCCGCTGCCATGTCTTCTTTCAGACTCGCGCGCGGTCGTGTCAACTCTCAGAGTCAGCCGGAATACTGCCATATCGCGCGAGCCCACCGTTTCACACCGACTGATTAACAAATCGACGACCGTCCAACGAGGTGCAGCGTGCAATAACCTCCCCTTCGGTGAAGTACGCTTCTTCTCCGCGAGGATCGAGACTCGGACACGTTTTTTTGTTTTCTCTTTCCTCCGTTCGGTGCAACACGCGGCGACGTAAGGCGTGAGATGCAACGCTCAGATCACGAACAAGATCCGACCACGCGAGTCAAACGGCACTGCACATCCCGTGAAACGACACGGCACGCGCGAATTGTCATAACAAGTTTGCCGGCGGTGGAGAGACAGTCGGCCTCCGCTAGTGGACGTGCAACTGCTGCGTATCGCTACGCACCACGGTGATTCTATTTATATATACAAACAACCGTGCTTGTAGTCTCGTCTCTCCTCTCCTCTCCTTCAACTTCTACAAACAAAGTGATTTCGTTCTCTAGGCGTGCAACGTTCTCCTCCCTGTCATCGCGAACGACTTTGCAATGAAATAAATCTTTGGCGTGGTTTGGTGAATAATGCTGAACGATGCAACGTGCAACGATGTGTCAACAATACAATCACTTGATAGCGTTTCGGCGATTACGAATGTGCCCTTTCTTTCTTTCTTTCTTTCTTTTTTCCTTTTCACCGCTGTTGTGTTTCAGCCGAAACCGCGATGCACGAACGACTGAACAACACGAGCCTTCGTCGAGAATTTAAGTACCCGCCATACAAAAGAAACTGCTTACAACAACGAAAGAGCACGGAGCTCTCGTTGAAGCGGTACTGATCGGATGTGCGCGAAAAGTTAACCTATAAATGCGAGGCGTCTCGCACGCGTCCCCACCCTGTCTCGCAATTACGTGGCGCGACAAACCAGACGGCCATGCTTTGAATTTTCATACGTGCGTTTTATTTCTCGAGTCTTAATTACGAAAAAAAATATCAAATTTACGTGTATTCTGTCCCCACGCGGTGGGGAGCACGCGTTGTATAAAACAATATTCGATGTTCAATAGAAAATCCGCCTTAAAGGACGATTTAAAGAACGTCAATGTGAAAACAATCACTATATTTAAAGCAAATTGCGTAACAAACCTTTCCCTTTTTCTTTATTTCTCCATGTCGCATTTGATGGAACCACGAGCGACAAAATCAAGGAGAAAATATGTACATATTTTATCTAAGAGAGAAAGAAAGAGATGTACGGAGGGAAAAGACAATGAAGTAACGAGGAATCGATGTAAAATACACGTGCATCACGGACCAAGGGTATTTGATACAAAATGGTGTGCTTAAAATGATCTGCGTCCTTACGAAGGTATTACATAAACGAAAGCTATAAAGTATTAAGAAGCTCGGACCATGATGTAAAACCTGCTCTTCTTATCTTTTTCTTTCCATGCTTATAACATTTTTTTTTTTTTTTTTTTTTTTTTTTTTTAACATGAAAGATTTCAGATTAATCGAACCTTGAATTTTTTTCTAGCTAAAAAAGAAAACACACCAATGACGCATCTAAATAAATAAACAGTGATCTACGATAATGAGGCTCGCAATTAGATCATCCCATGAGGCGACGAAAAAGGTCGCCCCAGTGCTGGCTGCATTCAATTCAGAAATGCCGAGGTATGGTTGCTTGACAAAGGAGCACGAAAATAAGCAGCTCTGTGACAGTGCGCTCCACGCAAGGCCAAAAACCTTCTCGTTTGTTCATATTCGTTCAATGTGGCAATGGTTGTATCAAGAGTTATACTCGGTACATTATGGGAGGAATTGCAACGACTGACCAACACGTCGCAGCTCAATGTCACTTGGCTCTGATCAGCATGGATGATTCACATTTGACTGGTCATAATGATGCAAAGATCGAAATGTTATTTACTCTAACGTACAACTATAGCAGCAGCATTTTTAAACTTACGTTCAATGTTTCGACGCGTTGTTCCGCGCTAGCCATTACTCCGTACTTAATCCTGTGCACGCGCGCTGCAGTGATTTCTTTTCTTTTCTTTTTTTTTTTTTTTTTTTTTTTA